TTTTTATATGTAGTAATTTGTATCTGTTAATCCCAAACTCCTAATTTATCCTTCTCCCCACTTCCCCTTTAGTAAACATAAGTTTGTTTTCTATGTCTGTGAGTCTATTTCTGTTTTGTAAATAAGTTTATTTGTATTTTTTTAGGTTCCATATATAAGTGATATCATATGATATTTGTCTTTCTCTAACTTACTTCATGTTGTATGATAATCTCTAGGTCCATCCATATTGCTGCAAATAACATTATTTCATTCTTTTTTATGGCTGAGTAATGTTCCATTGTATTTAATACCACATCTTCTTTATCCAGTCATCTGTCAATGGACATTTTGGTTGCTTCCATGTTTTGGCTATTGTAAATAGTGCTGCTATGAACATTGGGGTGTATGTATCTTTTCAAATTAGAGTTTCTCTGGATATATGCTCAGGAGTGGGATTAATGGATCATACAGTAACTCTATTTTTAGTTTTTTAAGGAACCCCCTTACTGTTTTCCCAATATGTAGCATATTTCAGTATGTAGCAAGTGTGGCAGTGTGTTAAGTGTGAGAGAGACACAGATCCCTGTCCTTGACAGGGCAGAATGTCCTTCTTCAAAGATCCCAGGCAAGAGCTGGAGAGCAAGGAGAATTCCACGTGGCTGCTAAGAATTAATTTTCTGCTCGTTGGGAGCCTCACTCATTTGTTAGCAATACTGAACAAAGAACATGGGAAAGGGAGAGCATAAGCCATGCCCTTGTCTCTGACTGTGCACATCAGGGTATCTCTTTGACCTTGTCTAATCTCAGTGTGCCACTGAGCCTCAGGACTGTGCCCAAGGGGCTGCTCCAGGCCAGAGTCACCTTCTCTGGAATTAGAGATGCTCATCATGGACCGCAGAGGAAGCTTTTCAAGACTCTCCCTGACTAGGAGAGGACCAGGCTCCAGTCCTGGGCTAGCAGAAGGGCTTGCAGCTGCCTAAGCCACAGGGTCAGATCTCTGCGGGGCTGCAGGAAACCATGCAAGACTGGCTAGCAGTTGAGCCTGATTGTTTTGGGATCTGTGTACATCCTAGCAAAATAGAGTTTGGAAGACAGTAGAGTCGGTGTAGGTCTCCCAAAACCCCAACCTATCAGCTACCTACAGGGGTGCATACAGAGGTTCCTCCATTACCTCTGATATTCCTATTTGACCTATAAAAATACATGATTAATGGCTGAAGTGAGTGGTGCAGACTGAAAACATCATGTTGTGGGGGGAGGGTATAGCTCAGTGGTAGATTGCATGCTTAGCATGCACGAGGTCCTGGGTTCAATCCCCAGTGCCTCCATTAAAAATAAATAAATAAGTAAACCTAATCCCCACCCCCACCCCAGGAAAAAAGACAACAAAAAGATAGAAGGAAAACATCATGTTGTTCAAGAAAGGAGTAGATGAACAAGAGTGTAGCTATCAGGAAGGCTTCAAAGAGGATGCGATTTGGACGGGCAGAGAGAAGGAATGGGGCCGCAGGTCTGCACTGGGAATGCGTGAGGGATTACACAGATGGCCCTATGCAAACAAAATGGCAGACAGAAAAATAATTTAGTTTTCATATTGATTCACTGAAAGTATTGAAATATCAACATGTCCCAGGCTGGATTTTCCAGGAGGCATATTCTAAGACAGGGTGTATTCATTTCCTATTGTTGCTGTAACAAATCACCACAAACTTAGTAGCTTAAAGCAACACACACTTATTATCTTACAGTTCTGAAGGCTGGAAACCTAGAATAGGTCTGTAGGGTTGTGTGCTTTCTGGCTTTAGAGGAGAATTTATCTTCTTACTTTTTCCAGATTCTGGAGATTGCCTACATTTCTTGGCTTGTGTTCCCTTCCATCTTCACAGTAGAGCAGCATCTCTCTCTGATCTCCAGGCTCCTTCTTAGAAGAACCCTTGTGATTACA